CCCCGAGTGACTCCGTCGCGTTTGTCGGGCGGCTCGCGGCGGGTCGCAGCGCGTGCTGCATGGCGCATCGATTCGGCCCCGAGGAAAGGGTAATCCTATTGGTCGTGCCGAGGCGTGCTTTGATGTTGCTGTGATATGATTGGTCGCGGCGCAGAGCGCGCGGGAGGGTCGCGCCGCCCCCACCCCCGCGCCCGCCTTGCGAACTTCTCTCTCGCCCTCTCTCTCTCTCCCCCTCTCGCTGCTCTCTTTCCATTTACCCTCCACGACCTCCCCTCTCTCTCACTACGCCCCCGCGCTCCCTCTCCCAACAGCCCTGCCGCCGCCGCCCCACCCCCCTCTCTCACTCTCTTTCACATCCCCCTTCTCCCTCTCGCTCGCCGTGACTGCCAGGCTCGTCGGAAGTGTTACATTTGCCGAGAGAGACGAGATTAACATTCAGGGGGAGTATTAGTTTAATCCTGGAGAGCTGCGCCCCTGCTGCGGCGGCCGCGGGGGTGGCTCAGTGGAGCAATCGCTTTTCGCCTTCACACCGACGACGACGCCCTGCAGAGAGCGTCCTCAAGGGGGGGCTGTCCGTAAGTTAGGCGGTCGCGTTCACGCGAAGTACTCTTCTTTTTGAAGTAAAATGTACTTTTATGGCCTACTCGTTTACTTCTTTGTTTAGTAGACAGCTATCATCAAAAGGTCTGTACCGGATTGAAAATGGCCACAAAAAAGGAATCACATTTCTAGCGCATTGCGCAAATAAAATTCTCATGTTATTGCATTTGATTTTTCTCACAAGTGGGATAGAAAAAGCGTCAAAAATATCAGTCAACTAAACCGCTTTCTCATAGGTGCATCGCCCTCAATGACGATATTATGGTGGATCTACATTTGCCACACACACACACACACGCGCGCGCACACACGCACACACACACACACGGTACATCATACGTTTAATAGTTAAAAGCAGGCCCGGAAAATAAGTAAGTGCTTTAAATAACGTTTGGTTGGCGTTAACTCGTTCAAACCGTCCCGCTCCCACCTTCCCGCCAGACTTTCTGCCCTCTAGAAGACTACTGCTTTCTCCTTCCCATCTTCCTATTCTTGTTCCTCTCTGCCTTACGAAGAGTGAATGTGAATATGTTTCCAGATTTATTTTGATTTTGAAGTCATGGGTTAGCAGACGGATTTATGTAACCTTCGTGGTGTTTTGCAGTACATTTGACATTTCCTTTACTGACAGTCTGACAGTCACAAAGACTTCAGTCTTGCTTTACGTCAATTTCTCAGTTATGTCTCTAGCATCAGCATCTCGCTTGCTAAGGCGAGCAAGTTCTAGTTCTTTCTGTTCAATGATACGTGCACAGAAATGTGTACCTTCAACAGACTTCATTCATTGTAGGCCTGAGACAAAAGAACAAAATTTTTTAACGATTCCCAGCCATTTCTATTCTGTGGCTAGCTCAAACAGTGCGCCCTCTTGCTGGAAATGTGGCGGTAAAGAAAGAAAATCTAGTTTCTTCTGTAACGAATGTAGTGCACTGCAGAAACCAGAGAGTAATTACAATTACTTTCAACTTTTGGGAGTTATTCAAACCTTTAATATAGATGCTCATGAACTTTCCAAGAAATTCCGTGATCTTCAAACTGTACTACACCCTGATAAGTTTTCTAATGCATCTGAGGTAATATTGACACACTCATTAAAAATTATATTAATGTTTTAAAAACTTAATTTAATGTTTTTAAATCAACAGGATGAACAGTCATTTTCAGCCGAATTATCTTCCTTAGTAAACAAAGCCTTCAAAACTCTTTTAGATCCGTTAGAAAGAGGCCTTTACTTACTAAGCTTGGTAGGAGACAAAGTCGACGAAAAGAATACCTCTTTTGACAAGATATTCCTTCTTGAGGTAAGATTAGTTTATCTTTGCTGAGTTGAAGTTAATTTCCAGATATTTTATAGGAACATTTTCTTGCTCAGATTATGGAATTGAATGAGGAGTTAGAAGCAATATCCACCACTAGTGAACTTAAGGAATTTCAGTCAAGAAATAAAAGCACATTGAACTCAATATGCAGGTGAGCTCAACATTCTTGTTGCAAATAACTTTGTTCTGAACTACATCTTCAAAGTCAAAGTGTGCTCTGAATTCTCTTACAGAAAGGTGTCAGTTGCATTTGATGAAGGTAATTATACATCTGCAAAAGCCGCTCTGATGGAAATGAAGTATTATACTACATTAGAAGGCAAGATAAAAGAAAAGGAAATTTCAATTGAAACTGTTTAATAGAAAACCAATAACAAAGTTTCTGAAAAATCACAGATTTGTATTACTTCATCTCTTCAATAAACAAACACAAAGTATATTCCCAGAGCAAATGGAATTATTGTACAGTAACAATGCGCAAACCCGACCCATTGACTTTGAGAAGCAAACAATTTAAGTGGGCAACAGTCATTAAAAGATGATTCAAGTTATAAATCATATACAGATCAAACAAAACAACAGGCCCATGAAAATAAATTCTGAACAACAAGTGCTTTGAATTAAGAAAAACTTACAACTTTTCCACATGTCTGATTTATTTAACAAGAAATTTAGCTTGTGTTATCCTTTGTCCATTGATCAGTCCAGCTTACAATCCTTTCTAAATTGCTTGCGGCCTCTGCTAGAGTGCTGCTTTGCAGTTCATGTACAATATCTTCATCGTAAGATGACTTTGCTTCTTCTAATAGAGTTTGGAAAATTTCACATTCTACATTGTCTGACAGTTTCTTTCCTGTGTAGCCTCTGTAAGATAATGGAATACATTAAATGACAAGTAAAGGAGAGAAAGGGGGAGGATAATTTTAAAATTGGGTTACCTTTCTGATAACCGGTCATACAGAATTGTATTGTCAGTTCGTAGAACAAAGACAATATTAAACCATCGCTCCGGAAAGAAGTCACATCCATGGTAGTCTACAATTTTTCCTCCATTGGCCATGATGGGTTCCATAGTATCCAACAACTACGGATAATGAGAACATATAA